ACATTGCAAATATTGTGGGAGTTGGTGACGTGTGCATTCAAACTGATATTGGGTGCACAATAACACTGAAGGACGTACGACATATACCAGACTTACGTCTGAATCTGATCTCATTGCATGCATTGGATCTAGCAGGCTATACTAACAATTTTGGTAACGGCACGTGGAGGCTTACCAAAGGATCGTTGTTAGCTGCTAGAGGTACAGTGAGATCGACACTGTACAGAACTCAAGTGAAGCTGATCAAGGGTGGATTGAATGCAGTCGAAGATGATGCTTCGCCAAATTTGTGGCACAAAAGACTGGCTCACATTGGTGAAAAAGGATTGCAAATTTTGGCAAGAAAGTCCCTCATTCCATTTGCCAAAGATTCAAAACTCAATCCTTGTGATTATTGTCTCTTTGGGAAGCATCATAGGGTGTCTTTCAGCAAAACCTCGAAGCTGAAAGAAAATGTGTTGGAGATGGTGTATTCTGATGTATGTGGACCCATGGAAGTAGAGAGTCTCGGTGGTAGCAGATATTTCGTGACATTTATTGATGATGCTTCACGAAAATTGTGGGTGTATTTCTTGAGAACGAAGGGTGAAGTTTTTCAATACTTCAAAAGGTTTCATGCTATGGTGGAGAGACAAGCTGGTAAACCTTTGAAGTGTCTTCGCTCAGACAATGGGGGGGAGTATACTTCCCATGAATTCAAGAATTATTGTGTCGAGCATGGCATCAGGCATGAGAAGACCGTACCTGGAACCCCACAACATAATGGTGTGGCTGAAAGAATCAACAGAACCATTATGGAGAAAGTGAGGTGTATGTTAAGAATGGCTAAGCTACCTAAGCCATTCTGGGGAGAAGCTGTTCTAACGGCGTGCTACCTGATCAACCGATCTCCATCTGTTCCTTTGGGCTTTGATATCCCTGAGAGAGTATGGTCCGGACATGATGTTAAATACTCTCATCTAAAGGTGTTTGGATGCAAAGCTTTTGCTCACGTTAGCAAGGAACAGAGACGAAAACTTGACGATAAAGCCATTCCTTGTATATTTCTGGGCTATGGAGATGAGGAATTTGGCTACAGGTTATGGGATCCAGAAAATCGAAAAATTATCAGAAGCAGAGATGTAGTGTTCCATGAGCAAGAAACTATGTCTGATTCTGCTTTACAAGATACAAGAGAACCAAGTGGAAAGGTGGATCTTTCACCTATCAAACCTCCTGGAGATGCCACAGCAGGGGGAGAGTGTGATGGAGAACTCAGGGTTGATGATGAGCCAGCAATAGAAGATGGTGATGGTGAAGGTGTCGAGCAAGACCTCGAAGCTCCGCCTCAGCTCAGGAGATCAAGTCGAGCGATCCAACCATCTACGAGATACCCTAGTTCCACGTACATTACCATCACTGAAGAAGGAGAGCCAGAAAGCTATGAAGAAGTTCAGACTCATAAGGATAAATCCCAGTGGATGAAAGCCATGCAAGAAGAAATGGATTCACTGGTGAAAAATGAAACTTATGAGCTTGTGAAGCTTCCAGAAGGCAGGAAAGCCTTGAAAAACAAATGGGTGTTCAAGCTTAAGAAAGATGGTGACAAGCTGTTGAAGTACAAAGCTCGCTTAGTCGTGAAAGGATTTGGACAAAAGCGAGGAATAGACTTTGATGAGATATTCTCTCCGGTTGTAAAGATGAGCTCTATTCGAGTAGTACTCGGATTGGTAGCTAGCTTGGATCTGGAGCTTGAACAACTAGATGTGAAGACTGCATTTCTTCATGAAGACCTAGATGAAGAAATCTACATGGATCAGCCAGAAGGATTTGAGAAGACTGGAAAGGAGCACATGGTTTGCAGATTGAAGAAGAGCTTGTATGGACTGAAACAAGCTCCAAGACAGTGGTACAAGAAGTTTGACTCATTCATGGCGAGTCATGGATATACCAAGACTGATGCAGATCACTGTGTGTTTGTCAAGAAATTTCCAGGTGATAAAATCATTATCCTTTTGTTATATGTAGATGATATGTTGATAGTGGGGCAGGATATGAAGCTGATTGGTGATCTGAAGAAGGATTTAACAAAGTCCTTTGAGATGAAGGACTTGGGCCCTGCGAAACAAATTTTGGGCATGCAGATCATGCGAGACCGAAAATCCAAGAGGTTATGGTTATCGCAAGAACGGTATGTGAATCGGATTCTGGAGAGATTCAACATGAAAACTGCTAAGCCAGTCAATACACCGTTGGCCAATCATTTCAAACTCAGCAAACGAAGTTGTCCTACGAGTCAAGAAGATAAAGAAGCTATGGCGAGTGATCCATACTCCTCAGCAGTCGGGAGTTTGATGTATGCCATGGTCTGTACTAGACCAGATATCGCTCATGCGGTTGGAGTTGTTAGCAGGTATCTTTCCAATCCTGGAAATGATCATTGGGAAGCTGTGAAGTGGATCTTGAGGTACCTAAAAGGCAGTGCAAATAATGTCCTTGAGCTTCGGAAAAGGAAACCCAGTTCTTGAAGGTTATACAGATGCGGATATGGCAGGTGACCTGGATAGTAGAAAATCTACTTCAGGGTTAGTGTTTACATTTGCAGGGGGAGCTGTATCTTGACAATCCAAATTGCAGAAATCTGTTGCCTTGTCGACTACTGAAGCAGAGTATATTGCTATGACAGAAGGGGGCAAAGAAATTCTTTGGTTGAAGAGGTTTCTTCAACAATTGGGAATGAAGCAGGAAAGGTACAATATCCATTGCGATAGTCAGAGCGCATTGGATTTGAGTAAGAATGCAATGTACCACTCTCGCACGAAGCACATTGATGTCAGATATCATTGGCTACGTCAAGTAGTGGAAGAACAACAGTTCAAGTTGGAAAAGATTCACACTGATGATAATCCTGCTGACATGATGACAAAAGTTGTGACAGGAGGAAAGCTTCAGCTTTGTGCCGAGTTGATCGGCATGGATTGCATGTGAAGATTTGCAGAATGTATCCCTTTGGCTGGAGGGGGAGAATTGTGGGGTCCAGCCCAACAAGAAAACAAAAGAAAAAGGAATCAAAATGTTGAGCAAAATTATGGTGGCATGGGCATTTAATAATCCTTGGTTATTGTACCAAAAGAAAGTGGAAGGAAAGCTGCAGCTGAAAGTATTTTTGTACGCATTGCTCAAACCTCTCTATAAATAGAGAGGGTATTCAGCAGAGGAAAATGCACCAAGAGAGGAAGAAAAAAGAGAGAGCAGGAGAGTACAGAAAAAATATTTCTGTGTGTGTTATTTTTCAGTGAGATAAAAATAGAGTGTTTGAGTAAATCCTGTGGGTGTGGGAAAAATACACCGGGTTGGGTATCAACTCTATTACTCTTTGTTTAAGAGTGGGGTTCTCGTTGGGTCACTATATTTTACATTTCTAGTGTAAGGGAGTGTGAAAAGATATTGTAATTATCTTGAAAATATAGTGGAATTGTTCGGAGGTTGTCCCGTGGTTTTTCCTCTATTTGGAGGTTTTCCACGTTAAATCTTGGTGTCTTATTTCTTGCATATTTTATTTATTTGGGATATTCTTAGTATGCTCTGTGGTCGCAGTTTAATCTGAACTTCCACATCAGAAAAGAATTATTCCGGTATTATTGCAAGAGATTATTTTTCTTTTGTCATTCTTGAGTTGCTGTGATCGGGATTATTGTTCACCATTTTACTTTGATATTTTAATTTACATCTTCCGCATTGCGCATCTGAGCCCAACAAAAATCTGCGTACGTGCTATTCTGTAAAAAATCTGCATACGCGATATTAACAGAATAGTAACATCGTATATTGTTATGCAATATTAACAGAATAGTAACATCGTATATTGTTGTTCGAAGTCGAACAAAATCAATCACATCGCATTTATTAGTTGTACAAAATATGCCCAAAACACTGCTAATGTAGCAATTTACGTTAACAATCCTGTAGGTATTCAAAAATGGAAACAATATAAAGCAAGAAGCCTGGAGAATTCGAAATGTCTGACATTGTCTACACACTAAGGTCTTATCTGAACCGTCAAATCACACACGCACACACACCCATGTGAGTATGTGTTGATCCAACGGCTTGGTAGTTAGCACCCAGTTTAGGCGGTAGGGCTAAATCCACCCAGAAAGTCCAACTTTGTTTAAAGAAAAGCCAATGATAAAAAATGGCTGGCAAATCTGACAAAGAGAAGTTAGGCATGAAAAAATATTCTCTAAGATTGCCACTAAAAAATGAGAATATTCAGTATTCAAGTCGTGCGCTTGTCCACGAAGAAAAAGATCTTACAAAATAGTAACAATAATGATAGCAAACATGAAACAACTAAGTGAAAAAACTATATACATATATTCTAGAAAACATGTATAAAGAGCGTTAGTACTGTACCAATTCCCCCAATATCACATTTCTATATCTTACATAATGTTACTGTACATCATTAACAGGTATTCTATGACGAGAAAAACACGCGCAACGACTAATTTTTGCCTATACTTCAACCGAGATACAAAAAGAGACTACAAGTAACGTTAAGGGCAAACCTTACTATGTACAGAACCATTCAACTCAGCCAGATCTTGAAGACATATTATCATCATACCAAACAAGTACTTGGTCCATTTGGTGTCATTTGATTCATCGAGGAGTAAATAAATAAATTGCAGGAGCATTTCTTTGATGAGCCAAGGTAGACGAGCAAATTTCTGCCCCAAAAAAATAAGACGGTTAAATATACGAGGTTGACACCTCATTTTACTTTTGGGGTGGTTAAGGGATATTATAAAATTATTTACATTTCCATAACAAATATTCCCTTAAGGAGGGTCCAATTTGAAATTTGGAAAAAAAAAAAAAAAAAAAGAATTAGGTACTTGTGATTTTGAAAGATAATTGGGTATGCTTTTGTATAGACCAAATCTAAAGGTTTCTTCCGTTTTTTGATGCATGGTCTAGACGTGACAAAAGGAAATACGTTTGTACCTTAGATAGCATCACAAAGGGGTTCCATTTGAGTTTGCAATAGAAGCTTCCAGGAACTTGTGAAACCGTTGGATTCGTGTTTGGTTATCGGGCAAAGATCTAACCTTTCTCCTTCCCAAACGAACAAATGAATCTTCCGTGTCGAGAACATACGAGATCTGAGAGCACATTGGTTGTAACAAGTTGGATTCCAGCACACAAAAAAAAAAAAAAGAAAAAAAAAAGAGGACTATATAGTAATAAACTAAGAAAAGGAGGTAATGAAATTTGGATTAGATTTCTGGGGATTCGAGCACCAAACAAAAAAATTGCCTTATACAACAAACTAAAAATGTGTGTAAATTCGCCGTATCCATGACAAACGAATATAAAACAGGAAAATGACATCAATTTATGAGATCAATTAAATTTTTCTAAGGTTGGACAGATTTTGTACACCATACACCAAATTCTCAGTAAATCATGAGTATAGGGGTTGATAACATATGGCTGTGAGTTAAAACTTAAAAGCTAAAAAAATTGCATCAACTAGTATAACAAATATATATATATATATATATATATACACCTTTGATGTGCTTGTCGTCATTTTACATTCCAACCCATTCATGATCAGAACATTTTCCATTGCCTTATACAGAGCGGTGGATTCCTCTATGTTACTGTACTTGCGAATATTCCTGCATGTAGGACAAGTAGAACATTAAAAGAAAAAAAGAATAGTGCAATATTTCTTCGATTGTGTCAACTGTAATTATCACTTTATTGAAGTAACAAGCTTAGAAAGAAAACAAAAAATGATTGTGTACAATTTTATTGTTTTCTCGTTCGTTATGATGAATGGCTAGTTCTTGTTTTAACAACGGGAAATAGTAGGAGATAGTTATGCTTATACGTTCAGAAAGCACTTAATTATCTTAAAATTGCTCGCCATTCTTTCACTGGTTTAAAGCAAACAATCGGACAGCTTAGACCTTTACCAACATAAAGATTTTCTATTGCACAGAATATCAATCAGCTGAACCATAACCACATTGGATTATAATTGTAAAATTATGCCGCTAAGAAGGGTACATTCTCAGAACCTTAAGGGGGCGATTGGATAAAAATCAAACCAGTTTTGACTGGATTTGATTGGTTAAAGTGGGTTATATTGAATAAAATGATTAAGGTTTTGAGTTTGCAATTAAATAATATTTAAAATGTAATAATTAAAGTTGAGGTGATGTAAAAGTAAGAGATATATTATTGGTCCAATAATAGGTAGTTAAAAATATGTGAGTGGATGAATAGTGAATTTAAGTTGATGTGATGTGTGAGGATGATTGATTGATATTGTTTAATTATATTGATGATTGGTCGGAAAAAGTGTCTTTTTTATATATTTATTAGCGTATTTTTATGCTTAATTTTATTGCACTTATATATTTTTTTTGAGTCATTTATTTATTAGATGAATTTAAGTGCTATGATATATTTATGGTTTATTTTCAGGATATTGAATTATTTTTGTGGGCTTGTAGATCGTACTCAATTATCAGCCTAACTTAGACGCCCAAACGTTAAAGTAATAAATAAAATAGCCATCATGTGTTGGGAAAGGGCCCATCAGTTGTTGCTGAATGTTACAAATAATTGGTCATTAGCCATTACATGACATTTGGGTTAATCATGTGTGTTTGGGAGACATGGAAGATTTGGTGGGCTAAGAGCCCAATTAATGGAAATTAATTAGAGCACTCATGCATTACTAGGGACCTGGCGCAAAAGACAGAGAGGAGAATTATTCACGCAGAAACAGAAAAGCCAGCCGCCAGGCATACGCGGGGAGCAGAGGACATACGCAAGAAGAAATACGGAGAAGCCGGCAATCGCGGAGGGAGGCCGCACCCATACACGAGGGAGATAATTAATCTCTCTCTTTTATCTTTTTATTTTTATTTATTATGTTAGAGTAGTTTTATTTCTAGTTCCGGGGATGTCGAACCCTACGTACTTGATGATGTTTGATTGATTTACATGGTTGATTATGGAGTTATCTTTTTGGAATTGTTTGTGTTATTTTGAATAATTAACCATAATGTGTTTAGTCTTGTTTAGTTTGATCACCTAGATTAGGCTTTGCATATCTACATCTGAATTAGACCTTCAATCCATAATTGTTGTTATGTTTAATTCCTAAGAGGTAACCGGAAGATGGTAACTACCGGGGATAACACGGCCTATTTAAGTGAACGAACGCGGTTGAGTTCACTACTTAGTGGCCTATTTTTCTAAATCGTAAAGCGGCTAATTGAATTAAATTTAGGAAGCGTTTCCTAGGCTGTTCAAGAGGTCAGATTTAATCGTAGAGCGTCTCGCGGTTAGATTAAAAATAAGGAAAAATTCGGGTAACAGACCGTGTCGTTACCTAGGGCTAGTAATTTCATAATATAGCGAGATTTGACGCCAGAATTGATTAGACGTGTCAGTCGAGGGTGTAGACGGAACCTTGAACTAGAAATTTCTCCTAATTTATTTATTTTTATTTTTATTTTATTAGTTTAGATTTTATTTGCTTTTATATTTCAATTAATACGAGAAAATTCACGATTCGATTCACACTCCCTGTGGGATCGACCCTTGCTCGCCACTACTACTTTTAGTCGCGGAAAATATAAATTTAATTTTGCCGCGTTGCGACGTCAATTGATAATATTGAGGAGAGTTGAGTTTGATTAGATTCGAGTTGGATTTTGAGTTAAAAATAATATATAAAAAAAAAAATTAATAGGACGGTCAAAAGTCAAAACCGACTAAAACCAATTTTGATTTACATCCAATTGCGCCCTAAGTGTTCAACAAGTCTGATGTTCCATATTATTAGTCTAGTAAGATAATGTCAAATCAGAGGATTTTAGCATGGTGATTAATGTAACTCATGCATTTCAAGCTATGTGATGGAACATATAACAATACCTTTTCAGCATAATTGATGATGACACCTTTGCATTGTTAACTGAAAGATACTCTTTGTGAAGATACGTTGTGAAATTGGGATCTACTGAAACTGCAACAACTTCAGACTTCTCATCTCCATCATCCATCAATTGAATGGATAAGCGAGTAGGGTTATTTATCTACACCAAGCACAGAAAAAACTGAGCATCCAAGCACAATTCTTGAATTCGATATCCACAAAAATTAACATGAAAACAGAGATAACTCGTTCAAAATGGGACCTACACATTCAAACCGGTATATATTCTCGTCATGCAGAAGGACATGAACATTCTCGTAATAAACTGAGTCAACAAAATTCTCCGGCTTCCTAGATCTCTCGTATTCAAACAACTGAAGCAGCTTACAATCCACCTCATCACTTGAAACGGTTTGAAGCTGCAAAAGAAACACGATTCTCAGAAAATTATGTGTCGAAAATGAAAACAAGGGAAAAACAGAAAACTTTCTTTGCAAACTTACCTGTCTGACCAACTTATAGATCAACTTATCCAAAGTGAACAGCACATAGGACTGGTTTCCTATCAAAGATCGGCAATCGTCTTCAAATTTTGTATTGTCGACTGATCCATCAAGTAAACTGAAAAGTGCATCCGTGAATCTGCAGAAAACATTATCAGTCAAAATCAACCCAGAGCCTGTGCAGCATTCAAAATGTTTCAGGAACTAAATTAAGCCTCTAAACTTCACCTAGCATATGGATAAGGAGTTGCATCTTGCGTGTTTCTCCATTTTGAATCGCCACATACTGAATTGACTTTAGCGAATAGTATTCTCTCGTACAGTACCTGGAATGATGGAAAAGAAACCATTTAACATAGAGGGAAAATTGGACTTAGGGTGTGTTTGTATATAAAAAAACTCAATCCATACTCAACTTTAACTCAACTCCACAATCCTCAATATTATCAATATAATTAAATAATACCAACCAATCATTCTTACATATCACATCAACTTTAATTTACTATTCATCCACTAACATAAGTTTAACTTTCACTTCACATCATTTCACTCCTACTTTTACATCAAATCAACTTTAATAATTTTATTTTAAATATTATTTTAATATAAAATCAAAATCCCACTAACAACTAACCATACCACTTTTTTCAAAATTAACTCTGGTTAACCAAAAAAACTCGTTTTGAGCGGATATAATTGTATACACACACGCCTTTAGAATTGGAATTCGGAATGTCTCTCCTATTATGAAGTTGATAAAGTTTCTTCACAACAGCACAGCATTACACAACCGACAAGTAAAAGTCAGAGGCACTAGAATAAACATCATGAATTTACCTGATGCTGCCTAAAAAGCACATAAAATGTGTCGTTTCCATAAAAGACACGTTGATCCTTCTTCTCATCATTTATTGATGAGGAAGCCACATGCTTTGATAGAGGTTTACATTTCAGTAGAAATCGTTCAGAGTGCGGCACAGCCTCACATTCACTTTCAGCTTTACCATCTTCCACTTCATCAGGATCTTCCCGTGAACACTCATCAGCAGCAGACTCACTGCCTGAAACATCTCCTCCAGCATTTGATGTATTTCCACTGTCATCATCATCGGCATCTATATCATTTTCTCCTGCAGTATTCTCTTTGTGATCCCCCATTTGACCTTGGCTTCCTTCATTGCCATGATTTTCTTCAGGTAAGACTTGCAGAATTCTGTCTTGGCAGACACCAAAATTATCTTCAGAATCACAATTAGGAGACAACTCACCCTCCTCTTTCTCATTTTTACAAGGATCAACAGGACACTCATTATATCTGAAATGTCTGGACCCTTCTGCAAAATCTCCATTTGCCGATCCATTCAATCTCAATTTATCCCCACCCTGTCATACATAGAAGAAAATGATTCATTTTACCCATCAAAGAAACAAAAAAAATGATTCACCTTGTTGAAATTAAAATGTCAAACAAAACAATTATTATGAATTATGATACACAAAAAGCCATTTTAATCCCCTCCTATACCCGTAATCCTCCAGCAACTCACACCCACCAAGCTTTTTACATAAAACACGAAAGGGGAAATAAGAAGACAACATGTAAAGTGGGGACAAAAAAAAGACCAATTAATAAAAGGAAAGAAATAAGGTAAGTTGGAACACCCCATCCAACCCACTATGGACAAGAGAAAGAGAGTGAGATTAACTATACCCAGAAAACAAAATACCAATACCGAGGAAAAAAAAAAAAAAAAACCCAACATAATACCATGCGGACTCTATCTAAAAACTGAAATCTAGAAGTCAAGCTTACCACTGAGGGAACCGTATCATCCATATTTGACTTAGCTTCATTGCCTTCCTCAAAGGCACCATTAACCACTTTTGGAGAACTTGCACAACACCCTTTGATTTCAAAATAGGTTCCATCAATATAAAAATGTTAACATAAAGGAAATACGAGCAGAAGATAGAATGAAAAGCCACTACAGTTTACAGCTATTGTCAGTCACATGGTAAATATAATCAGAATATCATGCATACCATGGTTAATGTCGGTTCCTGAAGTAACAGCTGAATCTTGGTTGGTTAATCTTTCACCAGAAGCCGCTGCTAATCTTTCTTTGGCCAAACCACCCACATTTGTGAAGCCAGTTCTGAAATTCATTCTTTGAGGTGATGCCTTAGAATCACCATTGCAGTTCGACTTAGGTTGCTTCAAATCTGTGTTGTTGGTAAGATTGGTGTCTGGACTGCCTTCCCTTTCCATTAAACTAGTGTCATCTTTGGCATTTTGGCGTTTAGAGACACCATCATCTTCATCAGTCTCTAGACCATGGGGATGGGAACGAACACCAAACATCAGCTCAAGAAAAGTAGTCCAAAACCATAAAACCTTGTTAAATTGATCTTTTGTTGAGCAGATCTCCTCACACGAGTACTTGATAATCTTGAAGATATCTTCATGAACCTCAGCATTAGCATACTCAAATTCGACATCAGTAATAACAGAATGCCGGCTTCCGGCTGCAATGCTTAGAAGTACATCATCCTCTTTCTGCCTTTTATCTTTTAATTCTTTGATTTCTGCCACTAAGGCTGTCCATGGGAAATATGAAAGAACGTGAGAAACAAAATCCGGGTAGAGAGCAAAGATGCATAAAACTCTTGGAACAGTAGAAGAGCATTCGATAATATGCAGTAATTATCAGAAATTGATTTGTCCAGAAACATTACCAATTTCTAAGCAAAAACAGCAAGTGTGACCAAGTGAAGAATAAATTTAACTAGACAGATGCACTTGCAACCAATACATGGTAAAAACTCACAGGAAATCACAAGATCAGAGTGCCATCGACAAGATTGAAAAATAAGCTTACATTTTGTGCTCAAATTCTTTGAATCTTGCTGCTTGAAATAGAAGCTGCGGTGATCAAGAGACTTGTAATGATTCTTTGAATATATTTCAGCCCAAACCTTGTTAAATTCTGAACGACATTTAGTCCACTCCTCTTGCTTCTGATTCAGGCGCATTAGGACAACCGGCAAAGCATGAGATGGATTTTTGCGCAGAATGTCCATTACATCAAGACCATGGTCACCATATAGTCGTTCAATGCATCTCAAATTAAGAGCTGTATGAATTAAGAGGACAAGGAAATTCCTTTCAACTATTACAAGCGGTAAATTTTCTGGAGAAGAAAAGGAATAAGAAAAGTGGAAAAGCTCCAATAAAAATACCTAGATTCTAATGCTACAAACCTGTGAAGTAATCCTCAATACGTATGGGACCATCTGACCCAACAGAATTATTATTGATAATGCTCAAAAGCTCCTCAGCTCGCTTAGCAGTTGAACTCACAGACTCCAGCAACATGTCTAGCTCAAATCTGAACCCGAAGGACACAATTATCAAAAAGCTCGGGCACATGCACACCCGTGAAAACTCTAGGAGTTACGGAACCCAAAGAATCAACATAACATAAATCAATTTAAGAATTTATCATTTCAAATACGTCAAAATATGGAAGAGTTGAAGATCAGAGCAAGTCTGAACCAACGCCAAAGTTTGTCCTATTCCACATTAAGAACGGAATATTGATACAGTCATACGTGAGGGAATAGCTTTGGGCAAAACTAACAAGATTATGTACCTATCATCTTCACATCTGAACAGGCTTTCTTCATACTGATTTCTCCGCATGTGCTTAAAAGAATAATCCTCACTACCAGATGTCACAGACACCCAATGATCATTTAGTACTTGAGCACCAAGCTCTGACCTCTGGCTAGCTGAAGATATCGGATACTGCAAAGACAATTTAGTAATAATGCATTATTGAAATCTAGAATAAATTGGAAGTCATAATTCATTTGTTTGGAAGTTTATTTGTTTATTTATTTGATAATTCTGGCTAATTTCTTCTCATTTATTTATGGAAATTACCGATCAAAATCTTCGACAAGTTGAAATATATTTTGGATTCGTTTTCATTGATTTTTCCATATTAAAAATATGAGAGGTGGTCATTAATTAGAATGATGCATGTGGCATGCTAGGAAATTAATATTTAAAGTATACAACCTTGATAAAAGATCGTTCACATACAAAAATGTCTAAAATATAATTTATTTATCCTTTAATTTAAAAAGTTCTATTGTTCTTTACTTATGTTTAATTGTTCTAATGTTTTTTTTTTTTATTTATATATATTTACATATTACTATTGTAGTATTACATTGGAAGCACAAACACTGTACCAACTGCAAACTTGATTCCTTTAAATAAATTTATAACTCGTGCAGCGCATGGGCACATGCAGCAGTTAAGTAAATAATGCCTCCTAACATGCATTTCATAATATATCTCACTTACATCTTTAGGAAGAAGTCGATAGCTGGGAGTGCACTGTTGACAATTCGATAGGTCAAGCTCCTGAATGGACTTTCCCAAGTACTTCAAGTTGCACCTATCCCTCTCTTTCCCTCCTTCCAAGTCACGCTTTTGTTCTCTCTCCTTTTCATCTATGCCTGAGGCTTTTGAAGAATTCCCCTCATTCCACAATGTTTCTGCCGGTAATAAACACAGATTTGTCATCAGGGATCAGAAATATGGTGTGCTAATAATACTGGGAGAAGACTGGAGCTGGTGACGGACAATAGCACTTCACATGAGTTAACAAAATTCAGATTTTTCCTATACTTGCAAAAATGATATGCAGCAAATTTACGTACTTTTTCCCATAACACCAGCTAGAAATCCATCTGAAAATAGGCATAAGTTAATAAGTGAGGAACGTTAATAAAAGAAGACAACAAGTTCACTAAGTAAATCAATGAATACCAATCCGCTCACAGCGCTCCAGAAACTCGTTGAAACCCTCCATAAGATCTGGATATTTTCCAAGTAAATCAGTAACCTGAAAGCACATAATAAAAGAGACACATGAAAGGTATAAGTTACCACCAAATTCATTCATAGTTTTAAATTTTATTAGAAACTAACCCATAAGAATGCAAAAGTGTAGAATCAAAATCAATATTCTAGACCAACTGGGCTGCTGCTACTCAAAAGGGCAGCAGTATGAAATAGCGAAGCCAGAAATACTTGTAATACATACTTTGGTAGTTGGTTAGCACAAAAAACAAACTGAGATGTAAAACTTGCTACTCGAAGGTTCATATTCATACCAAACTCTGCAATTCCTTTCTAGTAATGATTTCTGTACAGTATATGTGAAGGCATTTTAGGAATGCCTGGTAATCATCTGCACTTTGCAATCTCTCTTTGACTTTTTGACAGAAAGAGAACTCATAGTTGTACGTACCTGCAAGATCGAACAGAATTAATACCAGAAGGCACCAAAATGAAAATAGAGATGCAATAAACATATACACATGGATGCAAATAGATCCATACGGGAAAAGTGAGAGCAACTTTGCTCTTTATTAAGTAATTCTTTATGCCCTGCCCAAGTGGAGATTAAGGGATCTGATTGTCCCTCAATCTAAATAGCTCATACCATTTCCCCCAATGAATAGAACTATGCCAGGTACCCAATACTTGTTTATCACAGAGGAAATTAAAAAAAAAAAAAAAAATATATATATATATATATATATATATATATATATACTGTATGGGGCGAAATGGCAACTCTCAAACCGAAGTACACAAGATGGTTCTCCTTACACTGCTGTAAAAATCAAAGGACTGCTAACTCACTTTTTAATGCATCTTTATCATCAAAAGAGTTCACATGGACCCCACAAAAGTCTTCAACTTCCCGAGTAGATTTCTTTTTGTCAGAAGGCCGATGCATGCTAATATTACCACTTTTCTCCAGATCAGGATCTTTGTCATCCTGATCGCAATTCCTCTTATCCCTGTTTTCACTTTCAGTAAGCTTCTTTTGCTCCTTCGGCAGCTTCACCACTGTTTTATCATCATCCTTATCAGGACACTCAGCACTAAGATCACGTTCCCTTTTGGGATACATAGTACTGTCCCCCAGTGGAAGTTTTGTGGGCAGGGCCGAGCTTTTCTCATCATAACGCTGAAAGGAATGACGACCACGTGAATCATGCGGAGCTGAAGCAGCAGGTGAATTATCAGGCAAAAATCTAGTAAATTCATCAAGAAGATCGGGATGGTCATCAAAAAGAGCTGCAACCTGAAAAAACATACATTAAAACCTCATCATATATTAGAGTAAACAAAATGAGGCATTGTTTACAGATGCATACCTCACGGTAGACCTCAGCTATACCCTTGTGTTCCTTGCGATACATATTCAAGATGTCCAGGAAAGATTTATAAACGTGATCATCATTTTGAAATCGTCTCTGCAGGCAAACAGAGTAAGGATAAATTGTTATTACAGGAGTCCTCCGAATCCAAATTCAACCCCTTTTCTTTACCACACACGTTTACAAACTTCCTACCTTAATCTTATTGACGAAACCAATAGCTTCTTCGAACTCAACAGTCTTTTTCGGTAGAGCCTCTTCCTCATCGGTGAGGGTAATTTCAAAACCCTTAGGCAAGAATGTATTAAACCCAAGGATTAGATTAGGATGACCTTTAAACAATTCCTTCACCCTTGCTATGACACCAGCAGTATCAATTCTGCCAGAAACAATAAAAAGTTTGAGAAAATTATTTCATTAATCAGATTTAAATGTAAACGGTGATCGCATCAACAATATTCATTTACCTTTGAGCCTTAAAATCTTTCATGACATCAAGGAACCTATCATACTTTCCCCTTTGTTCTTGGAACTTGTCCTTAACATGCTTCAAATAACTCAATGCATCATTGGTGGTAAGCTTTTGTGTACTGGTAGCAACAACACCTGCATCATTACCATTAACTTCGGTACCACCTTTCACTCTACCAACTCCACCTCCATTGCTACTAGGAGACTGTGATGGCACATACCTTTATTAAAATGAGAGAACAAACAATTACATTTTGCTAGTAAACTAGCATTGAACAATTCAATGCAACAGTTGGTTGCTGGTGCATTTCATGCATAGCTGTTCTTGGTTCTCTCACTCATGGCCTTGTAGTTAAAAAAAAAAA